GTCAGTCACAGTTAGCCACCCCCCCTGGTCCCCCCGGGGGGGACTATCTCTCTCTCGTATGCTCCTTGCCGGATTACGGGTTTTTAGACCCGCAAGGAGCGGACTCTGGGTCGTGCTCTGCACAATCTGGTTGCATCGGCTGCGGCACCACCCCCATCCCAAGCCGCCATGTGACACCTGCAACATTACCTACATTTGCGCGTCCCTTCTCCGTGCCGTGTGGCTAGTGCACTATATACACTATAGTACTAGCACAGCACTGTCGATGCGATGCGATGCGATGCGCGTTGCCCTGCACTGCGCTGCCAAACCCATCACACACCAGGTGAGGAACCCCTCTGTGGACTCGGTCGCATCGTCACCTGTGTCACATCCCTCCCGTGCTGCTCGCCGGTTTGAGGCGTGGTGTGGAGGGGGTTCTTGAGGGCAAGTGCCCCGCTTCCGTGGGCGACCTCTTACTCTGTCCTGCGCAGCTTGCTTGAGCTCCCATCCTGGGCCATACCAGGGCTGGCTATAGGCCATGACGACTTACTGCGCGGTGTGTTATTATTGCAACTGACTGGAAACCGACCGCTGATGCGAGCTACGGGCTGGCTTATGTCCGATGGGATGAATCAGGCGTCAAGTGTTATCACAAATGGGGCGCCTCCACCAATTTCCACCGCCGTACATGCAGTGTTGACATTTTGTTCAACGGCTTGTTCCCCGCCTTCGCATTCTCCTCGAGCCAGATGGAGACGAGCAGGAGCCAAAAGCGCGGGATGGGAACAGGCATCCGACATGACCTTGGAAGAAAAAAAAAAAGCTTGCAACCACAGCATGCGCACATGACCCCCCTGGTAGGATAAAGTGCAGAGGCTGCTCAAAGTTTGAGGCTTAATAGATGCCGTCATCGATGGATGAGCCCGCCGCCCGTTGACAGCACGGCGGATCAGTAATAATACGATTGATGACTTCAGACAGGATTGCGAGACGTATTGAAGGTTGGCTCGATTGCCACGGTGTGTCGAGCAGAGCGACGCCTCTGCGGTGATACTGGGAGGTTTCGTTAGAGTTTCGAAGCAGAGAAGAGCCATTGGCGGTCCGGAGCCACTCGTGGAGATGAACCGTCCAGGGGCATGGGTGGGCAATCATTCGCCATCTGCAGAGCAAGGAAGATCCCAAAATGGGGGAGGTGGGCCCCTGCAAGCTCCTTGATCTGTCAGTTCTCGCCATCTCGACAAGCCCAGCTCTCGATACCTGAGGGCCAGGTACCCTCCCGGTCGAGTCGAGTCCCACCCGGTGGCCGGCCCAGTCTGTCCTGGTGCTGCTACTGCTACTTCAGACTGGACTGCAGGACGGGCTGGAGACTGCATTTCAGTCTCGTCTCGTCCCCGGATGTGGCTGAGCTTGCCTCGATGAGGCAAGCAGGATTGCCCCAAAGGCTTTCCCCGAGTGCTACTGTGCGCAGGCGTAGCAGACAGACATGGCATGCGATTAGTCCCACAGACAGGGCCGTCGTATGTATCCGTACTAGCAATGTGAGCTCGCATGCGCATGCGGTGGTGTGTCTGATATCTCGATTCGATCTTGAGACAGGGCCCATGGATTTCTGGCGATGATGCCCATCTGCCGCAAACCACAACCGCAACCGTAAATGTATGGCGCGCCCGCAGTTACTGTGTCGCCTCGTGCAAACCAAAAACGCCGTAGTGCGGGTGTATAGTTGAGAGGCTAGTAAATAGCAGCATTCGGATGCGGCCAGGCCAGCAACAAGAACAACAACAAGCAACAGGGCCAGGGCAGGGCGAGGGCAACAGGAGGGAGGAGAGTACGCAGGTACAATGGTACGAGGCATGTGAAGGGGGTCGTTCCGAGAGCCCGACCCGGATAGAGCTAGTCGAAGCTTGGGCAGAGGCAGATTGGCGGTGGGGCTAGGCCCGGAGTGGAAGTAATACTAGGCGGTACGCGGGAGCGACTTCCCCGATCAAGTAAGCCTCATGAGTCGGTCGGGTCCACTCCTGCCGTACCTCGACACGTACTTCCTGCGGCAAGGTACCGTTCGCATTCCCGGGGACCCCCTCCATGTTCCTCAATTATTTGTTTGAATCACAAGGTTTCTGTTAGCTTTCTTGCAAGGGTGTATTGCGATACCTGATGAAATGTTCGCCCACAAGGTACGTACTGCAGGTATCCAGGTACCCTTCCCACTTTGCTCCACCCCAGGCTCGAGTTGCGCCTACTGCTGCCGCTGCCGCTCTGCTGCTGGTGCTGCTGCTGCTGCATACCTACAGTACACACACACACACACACACTCACACGCAGACGCACACACACAGTACACAGCAACTCTTTTCCTGGTCGTGCTTGCTCAGTTCAATGCTGCCGCTGCCGCTGCCGCTGCCTTTACCTTGCCTTGCCTTGCCTTGCCTTGCCGCCGCTGCTGCGACTGCTACTACCACTACTTTTACTGCTCCTGCCACTTGCCCATGCTGCCCATTACTGTAATGTAGACAAGACCCTGCTCGCAGGGAAAGTGCGTGCTTCAACATGCCCTTTCCTTGCCATGCCTGGCCTTACCTTGCCGGCTCGCTCGACTCGCAAAGCGGCGTCCGTTGAACAGTCTACTTTGCTACGCAGTACATAGTTAGACCATCGCCCTCGACTGACCTCGCGGACTAGATATCGTACTACTCACCAAGATCATCTTTGGTCTCTGCCACTAGATTGTTTCCCTCCTGGCTTTGGAACCGAGCACCTTATACAGCTCGCCCCTGCCTCGACTCTTCCCCCTGCCTCACTCACCTTCGTCTTCTCATATCTCCCACTGGCCCTCGTGCTTGCCCAGCTCTGCCGCCTCGAGACCCGTGCCCAGCTTCACTTTCTCTCCCTCTCTATTTCTGCCAATCTCGCTCTCCTTCTGCCTCCCGGCTCTGCCATTGTATCTCCTCCACCATCGCATATTTACTCGGCGCTCTCGCTGCAGCAGACAGCCCTCCCAAGACTGGCTAATCCCCGTCCCGAGGACCCATATCTCCATTGCCGAACCGTCTCTGCCCGGCCAGACGAGAGAGTAATATCGGGAGTCAGGACCTCTCAGTCTGTGCGGAAGAGTTCGTGCACGCAACCGCCTTTTCTTCAACCCATCACCTGGAACCGAGTGAGCGCCACATCGTCCCTAGTCATCGTGGAGCCGTCTCTGGAACACGACGTTCACTCCCGTCCAGCAAGTGTGGACCTGGGCTTGTCACCAGCATTTGAACGCTCGAGCACTCTCTCCACCCTCACCCACACACGCCTACTGCAATCCACCTTACCACCCAGGGGGGGGACTTAAAAGAAACGAAACGACCGCCAACGTCTTTAGTCAGGGGGAGCAGAGGAACAGACGTTGCACGACTTCAACTGGTATATATTATTCTTGCTTCTCCTCCACCTCTTTCTGTACCTCACCCTTGCGACCCTGTCACTACCTCGTCCCCTCGCCTCGACCTCAACCCACCCTCCCCTCGTCCAAAGGTATGAATATCAACGACCTCCCCTCTTGCTTCCATCACATTTCTCCAGTCCCCCCCTCTTATGATCTTCACACACCTGTGCCCACATCCCGCCCCCTTCTCCATCCCTCATGAGACCTTGTGCTCACATATAAAGAACAGAAGCATCGCCTTAGCTGGTCTGTCTCTTGTGTGTCGAGGAAACCTCATCATAGCTGGGAACCTCCGCGCCACTTGGATATTGCGAGCAACCAGGTCCTTCTCTATTGAGGCACACACGTCACCCTCGAATACGGCAAGCCGCATCTAAGTTCCGCCTCCTCCTCTCACGCTTGTCTCATTGGTATTGGTTGAGATACCAAAAGAAGCAACGCCAACCCTGAGACTGTTGCGAAGGAGAAAAAGCAACCTGCAGCAACAGCTTCACGACCGTTACGGCGGCCACCACCCATATCCACGCAAGGGTCGGATTCATTTTATGATCTGGTGCAAGGGCCGGTAACCAACGATCGTCCCTCGTCCCACTCCAGGCCCGGATTTCTTTCCGCAAGTCATCGTCGGCTGCATCCTGCCAGGACGACATCAACCCTTCTCACCCTCGAGATCGTCGCTCAGTCGATCTCACTCGAGGGACTCTTTCTCACCTTCTCCGTCACTCATTCCCGAGTAGCCGATCTCACTCGACGTTACGCGTCACAAATCTTGAGACGGCAAGTAGTTCCCTCCTATTTTGCGTCCACAAGGCCCCACAATCACGGACAACATGTTCTTCTCTAGCCCAGCTCAGAAACATGCAACCGGCTCGAGTTGAGCCATTTAGCCATTCGATGCTCAAAACACCAGCCGTCTAATATGTACTCGTGACCCAAGTGGATTTACTGGTGCTCATCCACATCCTCTATTTTGACCCGGAAGCTATGATTGGCGCTAACACCTTGTTGGTACAGATACTATACATAAATCCACGACGAAATTTTTTAATATATCTCTGCTATGGAACTCATCGAGGTCATGGATACTGAACAAGCACCCCGCCCGTTCCAATGTACTTGGGACGCCTGTGGCAAGGTATGGTTGCTGGAAGCATCGATTCATGACCAGAACAGCCTACTGACCAGCAACTTCAGAGCTTCAACAGAAAGTCTGACCTGCAGAGGCATTTCAGGATACACACGAACGAGCGACCATACGCCTGCACCCAGCACGGTTGTGGGAAGGCATTCATTCAGCGAAGTGCCCTCACCGTTCATATACGCACACACACGGGAGAGAAGCCACATGCATGCCAGTATAATGGGTGCGGGAAGCGATTCTCGGATGTAGGTGATGCTTGGTTCACAAATTGTGAGGGACGTGGACTGACCATGTATACACAGTCCTCAAGTTTAGCCCGTCACCGCCGAATCCACTCTGGGAAGAGACCATACATGTGCGGTCACCATGGGTGTGTGAAGACGTAAGTTCACGCCCCACCGGCGCAAGTGACGTGTTCTGACATATAGCAGGTTTTGCAGAAAGACGACCATGGTCAAGCACCAGCGCCGATCCCATCAACCAGGTGCTCTTGTCGACGACGCCACCAGCGAGTCCGGAGGAGATGACTCGCCTTCGACCCCGAGGGCGCATCACGCCAACATCTGGGGTCAACAACCGCACGGGCAGATGATGATGCACAACGGAATGGGAATGCAGCGACCTATCCCTGGGCAATACATGCAAGCTCCATACGAACACCGTCACAGTCTCTCGTCTAACGGACCCGAATACCCCAACAACATGCACTCAGAACATGCTATGATGCGCCGTATGTCGGGTGCTCCGATGCCTCAGCAGTACTTTGTCGAAGCCCACAACCCAGCTGTTGCAACTATGAACGCCAACCAATTCCAAAACGTACCACGACAACACGCTTATACCGAACCTGGCCTGACGGCTTCGCTGAACAGCAGCCCTAGCACGTTCTCCTCGGCATCCGTGCGAAGCCCCGTAGGTGACAACAGCTTCAACAACTACGCTCTTCATTCGACGCAAGCTGCGACGCATGCTCTACAGGGTGCCGAGCACCAGCACGCTGCTATGGGACAGTTCCAGCACCCGGCAACGACGCAGGCTATGATGCCAAACCAGTCGATGATGGCAATTTCCATGCACAACCAGCATTCTCAACAGCAACACCCACAGTCCCCAGGGACTCAAGGTGTTTACCACCAGCAGCTCGCTGCATCGGCTCCGGACAATTCACAGGGCATGTATGCCACCGGTCTAACTGCCTACCAGGATCCAGTCAGCGCTGGGCATGTGCCTGCTTCTTATGGATGGGGCATCCCTGAGGTCAAATTCGAGGATCCGTCTGGTTTGGGCCTGGGCATGCCTTCTGACAGGATTGCACAAATGGGCTAGGACCCCCCGTCCGAGCAGGATCCTTCTGGATAGTCTTTGCAATCAGCTGTATTCCGGTGTGAAGATATTGTTGACTTTATATGTATGCCCGTTGGTATTTCTGTCTTCAGCCAAACACGCCAGAGGAAACAGACAGGGGGTGCTCAAGACCGCGGATTTTGGCGACCCGCACGTTCACCACAGCACATACACGCCTAAAGCGTGATTTTACATCTACCGTTACACACCATCACTAATACCTGCGACGCGTCAAGTCTGGTCCTAATCACGGTTCACTCCGCTGACGACTTACGACACATTATTTTCTTGTAACTCTGCATCTTTCCATGCACTTTCACTTGGGCCCAAAACGGGGCGGTCGCGTTGCTTTCAGGACTACAGCAAACAATGTCATCTGTCAAAGGCGTCAAAACAAATGCACAGATCTCGGGGCAGAGATCCACGGATTGGCGGGGCGCAGCAGGAGGGGGGGTCGGCTGTCTTATTGTTTGGAAGAACAAAAAGAACTCATCAAAGAGGCGTTTATGAGTGGAGAGGAAAAGCGCACTTCTCGTGTTGACGAGGCCGTCATAATCAGGTTGGCAGTCTCCGACTGACCAGCCCAGTCTATTGTTACTATTGTATTGTCTTTTATCTCCCTCTTTCTCTCTCTCTCTCTCCCTGTCTCTGTATTCCTCTGTCACTGTTTGGCTGTACTATAACTGTTTGGGTTTTGCTTGATACCTGCGGTCTGGGTCTTCGGGAGTATTTCTAATGAGTGTGAAAGATATGAGGTCTGGCCTGAAAAGCTAAGAAAAGCTGGTCATGACGAAGGGGGTCAAAATCAAACTGGGTCGCATCAAGGTTGGACAATCAGGGACACAGCTACATGGAAGCAAAAAAATCTAAGAGAACTTCAAATAATCTTCAATGTGCCCCGGTGGCCTGATGTGATGTGTGAAGTCAGTGGCCATTTAAGTCTACTTGTCTTGAGGTTTGTAGAACTAAAAACCCATGGCCGAGCCAGCCAGCCAGCCTCCACCGTAACATGTACATAGCAAGGCATCCAGTTTCGTGCAAATGGACTTCTACGAGCATATCTTTACATATTGAGTCATCTTGAGGATAGCTTGCCATCAGCTGGACATTAGGGCCCGGATGGCGCGCATGGCATGAATCCTTCCTGACTGAGCAACAACTTCTGCAAGTAATTGAGCATACGCTTGTGATATCAAGGTAAGCTTGATTGAGCTCATAACCACGAGGAACACACCCACAGAGCCTACCACTCAATCAGCTCATTGCACATGAGGCGTGTAACAACCCATCCTATCGAGTCCTCGGCTGCGCACAGAAAGACGTCAGGCGATTGAATTCGGATGGTTTCGAAACGGCTTCGATGGGCTACAACTGCCCATCGTGAAACGGCTGCCAAGCGTGAGCCGCCGCATACTGGGACATGATGGTGGAATAAAAAGGTGACGAACACCTTATCGATTACTTGATTCCTTTTTGAGACTCGTCTCTTGCAACGAGTAAGCTATGTGAACACCTCCACGTATCATGAAATCAGAAATCGAGAACCAGCCCTTCCTGGCGTTCTCGGACGACCCGGCCAGGCAAGGAGGTGCCGCTGCCAGCGACGACAGCCTCCCACCCCGCCGCGAGGCGCTGAAAGCCTCCAGCACACGCAGACTCGTCCGCGACTTGGTCATATGCCTCGTGACCTCCCTGCTCTGGGTGCTGGTTATCTGGTTCTTCATACCCCGCTCGGCCCCTGCCTCCTCGAGACCCGGCGGCGATGCACCGGTTCAGATACCCAGTGGGAGCGTCATCACAGGGGAGGACATGGCTCGCTTCCACAACATCACATCTGGAGCCAAATACATTTCATGCGGGAATTCAACACAGGAGGCGCGGTCAAAGGGCTGCACATATGACACGCTGCTGAACGCGTGGGTACCGGCCCAATGCCTCGACCAGGAGTGGATTGATGAGTACCAAGACGACGCGAGCTGGACCGCTTATTCCGAGTATGCTCGACCCTCTCCCATTCTTCAAATTTGATATACATGAGCTATATACTCATATCACATGGATCCATGACTAAGTTCTTTCCACAGTGTGAACCTGACCGAGCCCCTGAAGCCGGACGCGATGGGCGAGAAGGACCACTACTACACGTCGATCCGGGACCACATCAACCACTGCGCCATGCTGTGGCGGAAGCAGTTCTGGACGCTGTTCGAGGGCCGCCGCGTGTTCGACGCCGTCATCGCCAACTCGTACCACACCGAGCACTGCGCGTCGTTCCTTTCGGAGCTGTTCGGCTCGAACCGGACGGAGCCGACGCTCGTCCGGGTCGGGTTCTCGGGCTGCTGGGTGAGGGACGGAAGCGAGGAGCTATGATTACGAAGATCAGTGGATGAGAACGTTGAGAACGTTTTCGGGTCCGGGGTGGCGCAGGTTTCCCTTTCTCCCCACACTGGGAGGGACGTGAGACACGGGGCCGGGGCGGGAAGAAGGGTCCCACATAGGTTCGCACTCGGTTAATAAACCCATGGTCATGACTTGTGGGGTGCCTTTCGCTGTGGAATGGAGAATATGTGATTGTGACGACCGCCCCGGATCCGGCGAACCTCGTCGGGTCCTTGACTGACTGGGCAAACTGATCGCCATGATCGCCAATGATCACCCTTAATTACCGAATCGTGAGGGCCACGAAGCCGCTGACTCAGAAACGACGCCGCGCGGCCCCCCAGGCCCAGCCCTGAGACAGGACGGGAGGGTCTCACCACCCACAGCAATACCGGAGTCCACACCCGGTGTCGAGCACCCGGATTCAGCCAAAGTAGACAAGGACTCCGGCTTTGGAATGTATACCCACGTGGGAGCGGGCCCCCGTCAAGTTCCTGAACAGCCGCGCCCTGGCTTATAGACGACGAGCGGGCCGACCCTGCCGAGCCGGAATGAGGCAAGATGTGCTGTACGCCAGCAGCCGCGAGGCATTGAGTAGCCAGGCCATTTCCAAAGCCGATGGGAATCGGGGTCCGGCTTCAAGATGACCTCGCCCCGCGTGGCATGCCGGCACATTGATAAGATGATGTTCGACAACAAAGTACCGAGTACTTATCGAGCATGTCAAGGGACCTTGATGGACCTTGAACACCGGAAAAGATAATACCCAGGAACCCTGAGAATAATGGACAGACATGCTCCTCAGACTGTGGCACTTGGATGGTGTTCAAGCCAAGGGTCGCGAGTAGCTCGGTCCTGGATGTCATCGACTGACTTTGGGCTGTGGACTGCTGCGAGCAGACTCGCTTTCCCCAGCGCGTATGGCCCCTCGGCCATGGTTTCTTACAGACAGGCCACTTCGTTGACTTTTACACAACCCAGCTTCCATGCTGGATTAGGCCATCGATTCTCACTTCTCCTGGGAACCAATTGGGCAGCTGTGAGCCTCCTTGCCCTCCATCCTGGCGTTTTGAAGCAATTGTACAGGTCCAATGACTTCGAGGCTGGAAAGTAGGAAGTAACCATTGGATTCAGAAATGAATTTCATGGACGACTCAATTTGGTGTCACAGTTCGCTCTGCTTGGAATGCTTGGGTAGAGGCCGACGAGGATTCAGATAGCAAGTCATCAAAAAGAGAAGACCAAGAAGTCAAGGGAGATCCTCCAAGCAAAGAAGAGAGGCTTATTGTGCGCTCCTCGAGAGACAGTAGCAAACTTTGTCAAGTATCAATCAACATGACCCGTAATCCGAAGGCAGATATGGACATGGTCAGAGCAAGTGCCTGTCACAATTTACAACTGCACTGGCTGTGACGAGCAAATCATGGAGCGAGCAATGATGTTCTTTCTGGCAAGTGACCTGGAAGGATTTCCAAATTTGTAAGAAGGGACGGTGATGCCTCGAAGCAAGGGAGTCTTGCCCCTGAGAGGAGAGGTATACGAGGCCCATCAATTGGCCCCAGCGCCCTCAGATGCCGATGATCAGATCGAGAATACTGGCAGCCTGCAGCCCGATTGCCAACCGTGGTGGATGGTCTCGACTTGGGTGAAAATAAAAATGTAAATGTTGGCCTGATCCACGAGCTACAAATGCGATGAGCATCAGAGTCGCGTCGGATGGGATGCAGTGATGTTTCTCGTAGGCGCCACAGCAGGGGGAATTAAATGTGATCAAAGGCATTAAATCAGAAAATAAAAAATGAAACTTGACTGAATGAATGTATGGTCCCGTAGCGATGTCGGGATGGCGAACGACTTCATACATGTCGCTTCAAGAAGTGATGATGTCTAGACATTGGCCTGATAAGTTACTAATCAGGGTTTAACCCTCACAGAACTACTTAACTCCGATGTCTTGACATGTCGGCAAGTTCCTAGGCTACTTCTGTTGGGGAAGATCAGGTGCTTCGATGCCGAGGACACCCCTCCTTTGATTGAACTTCAAAAGGCTGAAAACATGTGCTCATGAACCAGAGCAGGGAGCAAACTGCACAATTCTGTGTTTTATCAGTGACTCAGTCTTGTCAACACGCAATTAGTTGGCTATATCTGTTGATAGAGGCGTGACTTGTAGGTCCAGCCAGATTGTGCCTGCCCCCGTTGCCACCACCTCGGCGGCGGACGGGCGGACGGGCTGGGCTGTTGTGGACCCCTGCGAACAACAGGCAACTTTAAGCTGACCTCATCCATCTGATTCATCCCGCCGCCGACCGTTGTCGCCGTCGTCGCAGCCCCCATTTCTCTGCCGACACATCCCCTTGTATCTGGCGTCCAGTCCTTCATCTATCTACCAGACCATATGGATTCTTTCGCTTCACTCACAGGCACCCGGTATTGATTAACACTTCCATCCTCATCGCGCAGTCTGCGCTCCCGAAAGGCGTCATGGCCTTTCAAACGGCTCTGCTGCCCGTGAGTCGACCCATGGCCCTCCGATCCGACACCCGGCCAGCCCACCCCGAAGACATGCCTAGATGTATGCTGACTGATTCTTAACCTCAACAGAACATGGCAGCAGTAACAGCTGAGGTCTGGCCAACAGTCGCCAAAACCCTGGCGATGCCATGGACGACCAAGTCCGTGACAACCCGCGCAAGACCATCGGCTTCTACCCGCGACGTCGACCCTGCGTCCTCCTCACGATCAACTACTGTATGCCAACTCCTCTGATGACTTCTGCCCGGAGACGACTCACTGACCTCACTGCACAGGATCGGATACCGAACCTCCCTGATTTCCTGCGCAACTTCCAACCCAGCAGGTCTTCTCTGCCCAGCGACCAGCTCGTGCCTTACAATATCCGACCCATGGTTGCCACCATGCCATCTTTCGCACTGGCTGTCGCAGCCAACCCCCTACTTCAACGGAATGCTTTTCGTATGGGTCCGCAAAACTCGACCATCTCTACAACGAGACTGTTCTCGACAACGACTGTGCGCGCGGCGCAATGCGGCGCAGCGGCTTCGCAACCAGTGTCTCCTCTCCAGGCGGTTTTCTCTCGTTGGTCTGTCCCATCGCATCGCGATTCTTCGGTTACTGTTCGTCGCACTATGGGTCTGTCGCCGTACGCTGGGCTCTTGCAGCGCCGGAGTTTCAGCAATGGAGGCATTTCTCGCAATATGTTGGCCAATCTCGAAGCTGCTGCCAACCGGAACCCCAACAGTCCTACCGCACAAAATGCTTTCTACCAGGTTCTTCTCAAGGCAAACATGCCCGGAATCATTGTCGAACGTTACCAATCGGGAAGATATGCCAAGAATCAAGCCGTTGAGGACGTCTACGCCAAGGCCTTGTCTATGATTAATGGTAACAAGGTTGCTGACGTTGGTGCTATCGATGGCCACGCCAGCGGGCTTAATCAGTCCCAACTTCAAGCAATCGGCCAGGCTGTCGCTGCTAGCGCCAAGGGAGGCAACATCGCGGTATCTACTCAAGGTTCTGGTGGCAAACAGGGGCCTATCCACGTCGTCGTGGACGAGTCTCTCGGTTCCACAATCTTCAAATGGGTTAGATTCCTTATGATCTTCGGTTTCGTCTGCTACTTTAGTCTGGTTGTTGTTACCATGATTGTCGAGAGCTTCAACTCCTTCAAGCGAACCGGCACTGCCAGGGCTGATGCTGAGGTCAAGGCCGAGAGCCAGAAGGCCCGCTTTGCTGACGTCCACGGGTGTGACGAGGCCAAGGAGGAGCTTCAGGAAATCGTCGAGTTCCTCAAGAACCCCGACAAGTTCTCGACTCTGGGCGGCAAGCTGCCAAAAGGTGTTCTTCTGGTCGGCCCCCCTGGCACTGGCAAAACTCTCCTGGCACGAGCTGTCGCCGGTGAAGCTGGCGTTCCCTTCTTCTACATGTCTGGCAGCGAGTTCGACGAGGTCTATGTTGGTGTCGGTGCGAAGAGAGTCCGTGATCTCTTCAATGCCGCCAGGTCCAAGTCCCCAGCAATTATCTTCATCGATGAGCTGGACGCTATTGGAGGCAAGAGAAACACAAGGGACAGTACTTACGTTAAGCAGACCCTCAACCAGCTTCTGACCGAGCTGGATGGATTCGATCAGAGCAGTCAGGTTATCATCATCGCGGCAACAAACTTCCCGAAGCTTCTCGACAAGGCCTTGACTCGTCCAGGTCGGTTCGACCGTCACGTCTCAGTCGACTTACCTGATGTTCGAGGACGACTGGCCATCTTGCAATACCACTCCAAGAAGGTCAAGCTGGCCGAGAACATCAACTTGCAGGAGCTGGCCCAAGGCACTTCTGGGCTGTCTGGCGCCGAGCTTGAGAACATCGTGAACTCTGCCGCTATCCATGCCAGCAAGAACAAGTCGGCGTTCATTTCGATGAAAGATCTTATCTGGGCCAAGGACAAGGTCGTCATGGGTGCTGAGAAGAAGAGCATGGTCATCAGCGAGAAGGAGAAACTTATGACTGCCTACCACGAGGCTGGCCATGCTTTGGCGGCTTTGTATACCGCAGCTCAGCCGATTGCGTTATACAAGGTTACGATTCTTCCGCGCGGTGGATCTCTTGGTCACACCGCTTTCCTCCCAGAGATGGACAAGCACTCTTGGACCACATCAGACTACCATGCCAGGATCGACTGTGCGATGGGTGGTAAGGTGGCCGAGGAAATTGTTTACGGCAACGACCTGGTGACCTCAGGTGTCAGTGGTGTGAGTACTTTCCCCATCTCGGCCCTATTTAAGCTATACTGAACAAATCGCAGGATCTCAATAACGCCACCGACCTCGCATTTCAAATGGTTGCTTACTTTGGAATGGGCGGTGGAGGTCTAGCTCCTATGGACTTTGGGTCTCGATACAACAATCTGAGCCCAGCAACCAGGGAGCAGGTCGAGAGGGAAGTGCAGAAGATGCTGAACGAGTCGTACGGTCGCACCCGAGAGATGCTGGTTGCAAAGCGGAAGGAGCTCGATCGGCTGGCGGAAGCCCTCGTCGACTACGAGACTCTGGACAAAGCGGAGGTATTGAAGGTGATCAAAGGCGAGTCACTAACAGATCGCATAAAAATACCGAGGGATAAACCCATGACGGTCCCGATACCAGCAAATCCCCTCGAGGGCCTCTCTCCTATCGGTGGAGGGGCGCAGGAAGGCGGGTCTGAGCCACCACCACCCGCACCCCCTGCTTCAGTATAGTGGCCGAACGGGTGATGCGAGCGCACTGTCATGTGCGAAGGGGAAGAAACAGTTTATAGCATCCGGATGGCGGATCAGCTGAGCGGAGTGTGTATAATTTGTATCAATGGCTGGGTATGAGGGGACTTGAATGTAGTCCACAGCATTCAGTACCCCACAGAGGAGGTTGCATTGTGGTACTCTTTCAGAGCGTATCTAGAAAAGCATCTGTCTTATGGCATTGATGAATCGAGCAGAGCCAAACCAGAAAACAGAAAACAGAAATAAGAAAACAAAAAAAAACATCTCATCACCAGCCATCAACGATCTCGGGCCTACGTTTTGATGTTTGGTATATGTGCCTGATGGTAGGAAGATATTCAACAAAACTTGCTTTTCATTGTCTACCAACTAGCCACGGGCACACTTGGAGTCTGCGGTACGATGGGATAGGCCCTGCCTCGTATCCAAAGCAGAAGCAGCAGAAGCAGCAGCAGCAGCAGCAGCCAACGTGGACAGCAGATTGGAGACAACGGCGTTGAATGAGTCCGACATCCCTCCAATCCCTCCTGGTATCTAACACCTTACTCATTATCTCGTACTCCTTGAACCCCAGCCACGTAACGCAAACATTATTAAAGCATTGAGACTCCCTTCACCCCCTTTCAGATGAAATAGCGGTAGAGACAGTAGTGAGATAAGAATTGATGATATGTCAAAAGCATGCCTCCAACATCGAGGCCGGACAACTCCTTTCTCCGCCGTGGTACATTACACTTTTCTTTTCCCCAAATCTCTCTCCCTCCTAGCATTCACACTGTAACACAATCCTGAGAGGCCCAGCCCCGGCCCTCGTCCGGGTGCACTCAACTGTCAGGATAAGGATAGATGGTCCGCCCCGCCGGCGGCGATATCGCCCTGCCGATGAGAGACGTGGGAGTGACGTCCTCCCAGCTCCCCCAGCTGTCCCGGCTCCCCGCCCGGCTCCCCCCGGCAGCTGCAGAGCCCTGATGGTGGCGCTGGTGGCGTTGGTGGCGCTGGTGATGACGGTCCGGTCGGCCCTGTGGTGAAGCGCATCCAGCTCTACCACCCGTGGTCGTGGCGATCCCGATCCCCACGTTCACGGGGCTCGAGCGGAGGGACAGCGGTGGAGGAGGCAAGGCCTTGCTAGGCGGTGGGCCAGGCGATGGTGACCTCGGGCTACTGACCGGGCTGACGAGGTCGGGGATCTCTAGGGGTCCCTCGTGGGGCCGCCTCGGCCGGATCGGCGACGACGGCGGGGTGGGCGCAAATGGGTTGGTGGATATCGCGGTCGAGGGGTTGTCTGCGGCATCTGACAGAGAGATGGTTGCTGTGCCGGTGCTGTTGGGGTGCCTCTCGTGCGTGTTATAGTCGCTGCTCGTTGTGGATCTCGTCGACATTATCTCGTTCCTGAGGGAAGATGTCCGTCCTTTTGAATATGGAGAGACTGGGTGGGCGTTGTTCTCCAGGCTGTATGCAGGGAATGTGAAGCTCACTGGTGGAGGTGACTTGAGCCGTGTGTATGGGGGCGAAGAGGGCTCCGGCGGGGGCGAGGCTGCGGAGGTGACGACAGAGGGCGCTTTCTGGTGCATCTTCTCCTGTCGTGGTTCAAGTCTGCTGTATGTTGGACTACAGATCGGAGATGAAGGGAAAGACCCTCTGTCATCCTGCTTGTGACTGCTGTAGCAGCTGCTCTGACTGTTATTACTGTGGTGTGTCTCAAATGGCGTGCCAAACACGATGGAACCGGGTCGCGAGCTTGGCCCCAGCAACGAGGGGAGAAGCTTCCTGTCGCGCAGTGGTAAAGGGGGAGTCAGAGGTGGTCGGTCGGTGCAATATGATTGCGAAGGCGAGATCAGACGCTGTGGAGAGCCAGCTGGCGCAGCAAAGCCTTGCACGATCCTACTGATGCGGCTTCTCATGTCGCCATCATTGTCTCCTAGCTGTTTCTGCCTCCGGCGAAGGACGCAAATCAACAGAATCACCGCGCTCACAAGAGCCAGCGTTGTGCACACCACGATGGCAACTATGGCCTCAGTAGGAAGGTTGCGCCTGGATGTGATGGCAAGTGTCGTGGCTGTGGATGTCGGCAGTGAGCTGTCCGTGTCAGGGGTTGCTGTACGGGTCGAGGGAGCTTCGGTGGTGTCAATTTTTGTTGGGCTCGATGAGAGGGAAGGCGTCGAACTAGTCAATCTGTCTACAGTGGTTGTCGGATCCACGGCCGTCGACGTCGAGCCTGCGGAGAGTGCGCCGAGCCCAGGGTCTTGAGAAGGGTTCGCCTCCTTAGGAGTAGAAGAGGAGCACGTGTTGCATTGATATGATTCGGGAGGCACCCCTGGATCAGAAAAGTGTGGGAAGCCTTGGCTGGTCGCGATGTCAGCGTAGCTTCCAACAATGACAAGGAACGTAATTTGACAGACCTGTTGCAAGAATTGATAATTTTGTCCACACCAGCTGGCTTTCTGTCAACAATCAAACATCATGAGCGCATGGAGAGGCCATGTTGGGAAGCAACTTACGGTCTTGGTACAGAGCGGCCGGGTCATTCCAATGCAGACCACACCATTTATGGTCCATATAGTATAGGGGATAAAACGCAGGTCCTCCTCCTCCGCTGTCTGATATATTCTGGCACACGGCTCGGTTGATGTCACTCTGTCCATACTGGCTCATCAGGAACGCACGCAGGCAGTCGTCAAAACACATGCTCTTAGGATCCGACACGGGAGGAGCCTCTCCTGGAGCCTCGAAAGGGCAGGCGCAGTCATCTCGTCGGTCCAACCCCATTTCCCAAGTCGCGCCCATTATCCCAATCTCCGCGCAGATATCAATCGCAGTCGGCGAAGGCAGTTGGGCGGTATGTGACGACCATGAAAGAGAGGGAAAGAGAAAACAATTCCATCCCTGGGCCGTCAAGCATCAGAATAACAGTTTGTCAAGCCTCTTGACCGACAATATCGATACTGGAAAAAAGCGAGGAACAGGAGAAGCAAAAACGCAGCAAGCGAGCGTGGGGGGCACGGTGGCAGGTAAATAACCAAGCATCGGCCTCGGGGGCCAGAGACTGGGAGATGGCAGAGACAGGTAGAGACGGCTTAAGCAAAAGCTTATGCCAAACTTGAAAGCGATAGGTCGTATATAGAACTCTGAAGATCTATCGTGCCACTCATGCGCACACAATTAAAGCCCATGTCACGGCTATATATCACAACCAGCAAAGCCAGGGGCCACTCCCCGCTCCCGTTTCGTGATCTGTGTTCATTCATCGAGGCCCACAGCCGTGTCACTCGAACATGGGCTTGAGGGAGCCACGGGGGGGGGACCACTGAGATAGCCAGAGGAGTATCGATTTCACAGCGGTCGCTGGATACCCTACCCCGGGGCTCTTCATTGTATGACAGAACGCGGGCATGCTGTTGGGTGTGGGGGACTATGGGCTGCAAGGTGCGCCACCTCAGGTCAGATACATACAGGTTACACGAGCCTGCCGTCTCCCGCCGCTGGACGAGAATGCCTGCTCGTATGGAAGCTGGATGCGGGCGCACGGCGTTCCCTGGACAAAGATGCAGCTAGCCGACAAGCGTCTTTCCTTTTCCTGGGCCTGTTCAGCTCATGCGCGAGGCAGATCTGCAAAAGCAGACGGGATTGTAGGCTCAAAACAGCCCGAAGCTTCCTGACCAAACCCCGATTTATTGATGGGGAACGCTTGGCAGGTGCATCGCGGGGTGGGGGGGGGGGGGGACTTTTTCGAGCTCGACATTGTCCACAGATTTGAGGCGTGATTTTGTCAGCGCCGGCAACTGAAACAGGAGTACAAGGGAGTACTCGCTGCATCTCCAGAGGACTTGTCGAACTTCAGGACACATCAAAATGTCCCCTGGCCCTCTCCGGGGCGCAGTATGTCAAAGGCGAATCTGCCAGGGAACTGGTGTCGGCTTCTGACCAAAGCTGCTGTACGCCAGCGGATGCGATGGTGTTGGAGGGTGTAAGGCGAATCATGTTGGCAGAAGCGCCGAGAGCACAACAATGCGGCTGAAGCTCAGTCAAGATCGCCAGGGGCGACTATGCGACGACTGGGGATGCACACAGCTCGTAGAAATGAAAAGAAAGCAGGTAGGGCAACTTAGCTGTTTGGACATCACAGGTGAAATCTCCGACACCAATCAGGAGACCGAGCGTGGTGTTCAGTCGTACTCAGGTTACTTGTCTGGGGTCAGTTTCTTCCCACCTCCTGTCCTCCCTCTTCTGCAGCAGAGTCTTGCAGAAAGGTTACAAGGAGGTACAAAACCAGACTGCGGCGCGAATGGCAACAGCTGCGTCCAATAGCCACCTCAGGTACGCGACGAACCACAGACGATTGTGAGACTGCCAAAAACGCTGTCCCATCATGACCCTGTTGTGGCGCACAAGTCTCTGCCGATTCTCGTGCCACTCTTTGATGCAGAATTCTCGAGTCCACCATGTCTGAACCGTTTGCCTGCCCAACCCTCTGTTTTGGTCTTCCCTGCAATCAAGCCAGTGTGCCCACGAGGACGGCACGTGAGGTGCCATGACCATGGTGCAGGCTCCTGGTCTGATCAAAAACATGCGAGTATTCGTATGGTCTTTGCATGCTGCATGGCTGAGACACATAAAAGCCATTTTGCCATATAAGACGGCAACGATTGGACCTTGACCTGGGTACGCATGCTGTCGAGTGGGTGATGTCTTCAAGCTTCCAGAAGCTTGACCGCCTTCTGAGAGGGAGCGGGATGTGGCATACTAGCAATGCCCCCGGCCGCTAACCTGCTGATTTGAGCATCATACCCGAGTACTGAAGTGGTGGGAATACCTGCTCGTCGGGCCGTGTGCCAACCCAGCAGCCCGGATGCTAAGAACTCGTCCGCTTCTGCTGGTCGTATCAGGCTGGTTCTACCACACATCGCCCGACAGTCCATAGTGAAAGTCCGTGAGCACCAGAGAAGCAAATCATGTATCTGATGGTAATTGAACTCTGAGACATCGAGCGCTTGCTAGCCCGTATGTGAAATGATTGTGCAGATACGTCCTGAGGCGCCGCTCAAAGCCTCCGCATGTTGGGCCATGGAGGTCCGAGCCGCCTTGGCCCGGACTTAGGGGCTGAGCAAAAGCAAGCGAGGACTGGCCACCCAGCCGCGTTGATCGAGAGGCTTCCTGCCGTCTTTTCAGAAGGCTTTGGCTGAAGTGGGCCTTGAGCAAGAAATCCGCACGAGGTGCGGAGGTTCCTGCTTTGACGTGTCAGCCCTAATGTTGGGCAACCTCGGACACGGGCCAGACGAGAATGCTCCGACGTATCGTAGAGAACAGGTAGATACTCATTGGTGATCGTCTTGTTGCATTTGTGCTAGTCAGACTACCGCCTCGTATCATTGATCCTCTACAGTTCTACCCCAAAGCTTTCTGGTTGTATGCGTAGATCCAAGACGACGTCTATAGCTGTCAGCTCACACTTGCGGGGTACAAAAGCGCCAGGGCTTTTCCTGCACCTCAAACAATCTTTGACCAAGATTGCGTGGGTCTCAGCCCATACCTTTGGGTTAGTGTGTCAACGCCTTATTCTTCGCCATGTCATGTTCCTCGGCGTCGCAATTGAGTGGTGAGGGCAGCTAGGAAGAACGCCACGAGTAGTTTGAGTAGACCTTTGGCCTTGGCATCAGACTAGTACTGTATGCCTTTTGGGCAGGTGTGCAGTATAACCATATAGGGCGAGACTCGGCTCGCATAGTGATATGTCAGATACTGCGAACAGATAGCGTCGAGGTGCTTATGCTGCCAATTCGTCGCCCAAGGCTTCTGAAAGGTTCAGACCTCCGAATCAGCGGAGCTATCGATAATCGTGTTGCTGCCGCATTGCAGTAGCTGATGTGCATGGGTAAGGGGTACATCGGTGCCGTACGGTGCTCCGATGCATGCTTGGCAACGCAGGGGAGCCGCCAATGGCATCTGATCGTCGACCAAACAAGCCCTGACGAGCACCGTTGGATGCCAGCTGCAGTACCCCGCCACCCGCCAAATGCATTCAGTCTCACGAGTCGGCTCCTCCTGCCACCTCTGTGCCTTGAGCGTCTCCGCCTTGATTACGCTCTAGTGCTTCAATCCGTTTCAGGATTCCCGCCTTCCACTGCCTGTACTCGGCCCTCCTCCGCTCACTCAGGTAGTCGAATTTGTCTTGCAGCATCGTGTCCGCTTTTCGAATTTGCATAGCCTCAGCCGTGGACGCTAAGGCGTCCTGGTTGTTATCCGGATTCAGGCCACCTGCGTTCTGTTCTGCGTAACGAAGAAGATCGATGCTCTGGAACCATTCACTATCCAGCCAGCCACGGTCCGCAACTACTGTTAGGGCCTCGCTGATGTCGGCAGCTTTGAGGCCGTCTTGCCATCCCTCCCAGAGCACGGCTTCCTCTTCCTCAGTGACAACGACATTTTTCTTTCCTTGTGAATTGGGGATCCTGACCTCGCCCCTAGCGCTCCTCAGCGTCACTAGCATCTGTTTCCGCATGGCGTTGAGGCTTGAGCGTGAAGCGTCCGTAGTCATGTTTTCGCCAGGGGCCAGTTGAGCCGACTCAGACACATACCAGTAGATGGCAGCAACCAGTGCGGTCAGATGTCCATTCACCCACTCATCGTCTGTTCTCCGGCGATACGGTGCAATGATAGATTCAAGACCGAAGATGACTGTAGGTGCAATATCCGGACCGCCGCTTGTGTGGAGAGTGATGCACAGATAGCGGACCGTAGGACGCAGCCAAGGCGGCAACGAAGAATCCAGCTTTTTGGCCGTGTTCTGCGACGTCAACTTCGTGGGCGTCCCGGCCTTTCCTGGCGTGCGGAATGCGGCGAGAGACAAGTCCTTGCCCGGCATACCTCGAGACGGCACAGGGCGAGGTGCTGGAGAGCTGAGCCCCTTTGATCTTGGCGTACCGAGGCCATTTGCTTTACCACGTCCAGACAGTGAGGTGGCAGGTAAGATTTTGTCAAGGTGTGTGTAAAGACGCTTGTAGATGCGTGGTGGAATGGGTGGTCTTGGCTCAATGGGCGGGAGGTTGAGAGTGATCTTGAGTCTGTAGAGGGCCGTCAGCGGCTGGGTCAAAAGGAGGGCCGGGCTGGAAAAGATATGCCTACCGGTCACATGCGAGATGGCAGCACGCATACAAACGCGCGACGTCTTCCTCAGCTTTCAGCGTGCTCGCGCGAAGCCGAGACTGAGCCAGGAGAGAGCCGGCGAGCTCGACGAGAGGTGGGGGGAGATTTGAGTTCTGGGTCGGGAGGAGCGAGAGAAGGGCCTGCTCTATTTGTCGACTCATCTTCTGTCGACTGATGTATTCGCACTGGCTGGACTGGCAAGTTATGATGTGATGGGGTCTGCTGTAAGAGGTAGCGAATGGGGCTGCATCAGAAGTTGAGCGTGCGCAGAAAGGAGCTGTCGCGTCGGGAGCTTGAACTTTATCAGCAAGCCTGGGGGGAGACGCGGGTCCAGCGGGGCCTGGGCGGCAGCAACACGAGAGCACGTGGGAGGAATCTTGGGGTGCACCCACCACTTATCTCAGAAATCCAGCTGCCGGCCGGGCCACTCTAGGTGGGTTTATGAAGTTCGCCTATCTGATAGACGGTCTATTGACGCTGAGATAACACCCAGGCACAATGCTGCTCTGGCTCTATAGCTCCTTCAGACTAGGCTAAATTATTTGGGATCAAGAGAACATACACTTGAGTTGAGCTGGTCTCTCAAGCGCGATAGACAATAGTGAAAACAAGCCTTTCCCGTAGGTATATGTTGAATGCTTTGGTAGTTGGGAATTCTCCTCCACTATCAAGCACTGGCACTGGGCAGATATTCTGCGCGGCCAACAAGAGCTGTCCCTCTCAAGGCTAAACCAGCCGTTGCCCAAGCCATCGTTCCGCAACTGTCCTAGCACGCGCGAACCAAATCCGTCCTCTGAAGTAAATGGTCCTGCTATAGTTCAATCCACAGTAGTTCCCTGCACATACCGGGGTAGGCAGTGATCTGGTTATTGTCTCCGACATTGTGTCTTCGCACAAGGCAAACAAAGCCCATGGCCTCTCCACGCCGGTGGTCAAATTCCACGGTAAATTCCCCGGAGCTAGCCCGAGTGGGAAGTCAGGAACTGCCGAGGCGGGTCGCCCTGTTCGTATCACAGGGGTGATGACACTTCTGGGGGCATTGCGCAGTCCGGGGGAGCATGTGCGATTGACGACATCTAAATCCAACTTTCAGCTGCTACTCCCAGTTTTCCTTTAAATCGCGCTCTGGTCAAAGAACTACCTGCTTTAGAGTCTTGACTCTCTGCTCTACCTCATCTCACACTTCGACATCATGCTCGCGTCCCTTCTTTTCGCGCTTGCTCTGAGCAAAGCATGCCTCGCGCATGGAGATCACGGAAACCACGGGCAAAAGCCCATTGTGGATGAGCATGCTAGCTGGATGACGAAACACATGGCTGGTATGTTCTGTCTTGTTTCGTAGACAGAAATGGCTCAATGGCTAATGTACAACCTCCCTCAGAGGAGCACCATGCCGACGACTTCGATGCGGGCTCCTTCTTCGTCCTGCACGACTACAACAGCGACGGGCATTGGGAGCCCGAGGAGATCCTGAGGACGTACGGGCTCTTCGACGACTCAAATAAAAAGGTCACCGAGGAGCGCAAAAAGGAAATCGTCCGGGAAGTGCTCCGTCTGGCCGACAACAACAAGGACGGCGTAATCAGCAAGGACGAGTTCGAGATCTTCATGTTCGAGGGCGGAACGCTGCCAGACTTTGGCACCGGGCCCGGACACCACGGCGATGATGAGTATGAATACGAGATCCACCATTGGGAGCTCTACCACGACGAGAATACCAAGCTCGAGGATCTGACGCATCCCGAGGACATTGAGCATTTCAAGAAGCATGAGGAGATGGAGGACGAGCAGGACAGGATCGAGGAGCTCAAACATCGGCAGATCGTCGAGGAGAATATTCCCAACAAGTTCAGGAGATCTGGTTGAGGTAGAGTTGATCTACACGACGGATATGACGGGACGGGCAAAGGGATTACACCAGGACGATGTTCATGAATGATACACGATGACGAGGTCCATCAGGGTGTGTTAATAGATCTATGCCTTATAATTATAGACATCGAAGACGCAGTGCCACACATCTGGCGCGAATGTCTTCACTAATTCTACATTCTCAACCTTTGCAGCTCGAGCTGCCCCATCACTCTCATTCAATCCATCAAACAGGCCCTGTATCTCGATCCGGCGCCGCTCGATGTCTTTGACTCCAACATTCTCGTGCAGATGCAGCCAGCCACCCTCCTCAGCCCGGCCCAGGATCGCCCGCGCGGCCTCCCAGCTGTCATCGCTCCTGGGGAGCAGCCCGCAATTGACATGTCGCACCAGCAGGTCAAGGCCGCGAGACCGCAGCTCATGCACCCTCCTGGCGGCCTCCTCGTTGTTCTCTAGGAACACGACGATCCTGTCCTCCTCCGACACCAGCTCGTGCGTGGGTCGCGCCAGGTCCGGCCCCTGGATGATCTTGACGGGCCACCCGTTTGCGCCCGCCCCTCTGCGCAGGCCCTCGACGCTCCACGGGTTGAGCTCCCAGCATAGGACCCTCATGCCGAGCCTGGCGTACGAGAAGACGAAGTAGCCTATCCCGGCGTAGAGGTCGACAGCCCATGACTTGCTGAGCGTCGCCCGCGATTGCACCCTATGCGCCAGTTGGGACGTTTCGTCGCTCGGAGATTTTGGGGCGTCGTGAAAGGCAAGAAGCCGGGCCTTTTCCTTGACGTTGCCCCTGGAAAACATGGTCCAGCGCGGGGCCCAGGTCTGGTGGATGCCGTTTTGTTTCGTGCGTGCCCAGAAGGCCCGAGCGAAGTCATCGCTGGTGACAGTCCGGCTCGGCGTCTCGGACGGCCCAAAGTCGCCATGCAGGATGCGCAGGCCGATCGGACTCCTCAACACGTTCTCCTGCTGTTGCTGATGCAGTTGCTCCTCGGGGCTGTCGTGTGCAGACCCCTGTGTGCCGGGTTGTGTGGCCACTGTCAAAGGGATGCCATCGTTTGCGGCGAGGTGCGTGACCTTCTCTCGCGTCTTCTCTCTAACATGGCGCAAGATGATTTCCCAAAGGTCATTCCTGCACTCCGAAGAGACCGCTGAAAGGACGTTCTTCCAAGTTGGCGAGGTGAAGCTGCCACTGGGGAGCAGGACCATTGGCTCATATGTGACCCATCTTTTCGGTGCCTCTGCCACCAGAGTGTCTACACTCTCCCCAAGAGAAGGTGATCCTGGGGAATAGGCATCGAACCATTCGTGCACCGCCGTAGAAATTGGATTCAGCGGTTTTGATTTGGTCCGCGACATGGTGAAGGCAAAAGTTTGAGTGTTGCTTGGAGTCGCATCCGAGGATTTTGTGCCTCGGCTCAGATCTCCAACTAAGCTGAGTGTTAAGAGTTGGAGACTCCCATATCCCCTCATCCACCCCGTGTCTGCCGTGAGATTTACCATCCTCATAAATTCATTGCCATTGTTCTATATCTATCTTCTTGTAGGCTCCTTTATTGAACTGTTAAACACATATTCTTTCAAGCAAATAAGGCAGTCAAAATGGCCGAGAAAGCGAAGCAACGGCTCCACGCCATCGGCAAGCAGGTCGCCCCAGCAGTCGTCGAGGATGCGACCTTCGAGGACGTGCCCCAAATCAAGCAAGTCGGCCCAGCGTCCAATGGCCCCCGAGCTCAGGGGAAGGTGGTTATTATTACAGGTATTATCTCACCTAGTAGCATTTCGTAACTGTCATAATTGCCGAGCGGTCTTTGAATGATAGTATCGTGTCACTGACGACGAACCCGAACCCCCAGGCGCAAACTCGCCCTTGGGAATAGGGAGAGCCACGGCTCATCAGTTCGCCCAGAACGGCGCAAAGGCAGTCTACATCTGTGACTTTGACGACAAGTACCTCGGCTACCATGAGAAACAGATCAAGTCGCTGTACCCTGCGGTGGAAGTCCACACGCGGAAGTTTGACGCCGCGGACGAGGAGGCCGTCAAGGCGGTCGTGGATGACGCGCTCAGTCGCTACGGGAGGCTGGATGTCATGTTTGCGAACGCCGGTATCGTCGGCGCTCACATCCTGTTCACAGACACGTCGAAAGAGGACTTCATGAACGTGCTGAGAGTGAACACCCTGGGGCCGTTCCTTGCGGCCAAGCACGCCGCACGCGCGATGGGCAAGATTTCGGCTGAGAAGAAGGCTCCGGGCGGGAGCATCATCATGACGGCTTCTGTTGCTGGCATCCGTTCTAACGCGGGCCCGACGGCCTATTCTGCATCAAAGTCCGGAGTAATCAACATGGCAGCTTCCATGGCGTACCGTGAGTCTGCATTATACACATGCTGAAGATGCGCATTTGGATTCTGACTGGCTCGCTTCCGCAGAACTCGCAGGCTCTAACATCAGAGTCAACGCCATATGCCCTGGTGTCGTAGAGACCGGAATGACTGCTCCGATGTACGAGTCGGCCCGGGCCCGGGGTACCGAAAGGAAAATCGGCCAGCTGAACCCGCTGAAGAGGGGAAGCGCCGCCGATGAGGTTGCGCGAGTGGCTCTATTTCTAGGATCCGACGAGAGCAGCTATGTGAACGGTCAATCTTGGGCCGTCGATGGCGGTTTAAGTGCTGGCCATCCATTCGTTCCGGTACGTCGTCAATAACGAGTCTAACCTTTGTATTTCGGGCCGTTGACACCGTGCCGTTCGGATCAATCCCCCACCCCATCCTCTGAGCAATGTTTCTGCCTTAGCAGACATGAACCTTGTTAACCGCACTGCTAACACTGGCGCAAATAGGGCAAGCTTTCTTGAAGAGGTCTTGCTTTGCTGTTGCTTCTGAGGGACCACACGATGCCTCAATACTGGTGAAATGGTTGGCAACAGCCATCTTGAGGCTGGAATGATCACAAAGGGGGCCTAGACTCCCCGTAGCCATCGCAGTATCTTTGACCGGGCGGAAGCAAGTATTGCAAGGTCTGCGCTCTTGCAATCAGGCAGGTCCTGGCCCGAACATTCTCAGTCGAGATTCAAATGGAGTGACTGCCTTGTTGACGTGGAAAATGGGGTACCGGTCCTGAATGAAACAATTACTCTACAACGGAATAACGTAGCAATAGCTATGTCTTTCTAATTCTAGTTCTATACCGCGCATGTAGCCTTCGGCATGGTAGTCTCATTAAGTGCTATGAATATCCTCCAACGCCCTCGAAATAGTCTCACAGACGTATTTCCTCTCATCCTTCCTCTTGAGACCAGTATCCGTTTCGTCGTCATCATCTTTTTCAGGCGGTAGAATTTTCCAAGGTGCAATACAGTGAAAGCCGTTATCAATACCACCTTTCGCCATTTTTGCAAAGATGGCGGATATACCTTCTACTGTCTTCAGGTATTCTGCGTGTCGTATTTTGTCGCGAGTATCCTTGTGCCTCGAGAAGTCCAGAATACGTCCCGCCAAAGCTCCACCAATCATAGTCGCATATGATGTGCCCGACAATGTTTTGTCTGGGTGCATGTTGTATGGTGCGAGCGCAATATTCTCGCCAAGTACGGCAAAGCTGTAGCGAGCAGAAGACAAAGGCGATGGGTTGAACCTTGGGGAGCAGCGTACGTTAGCGTCGGTCGAGAACATACACAAGGTCTTCCCGTGCGTGTAAAGACGTCCTGGGAAAGCAATCTCAGTCAAGTTCCCGTAGTTGGAGGCAGCGCAGAAAAGGAGGACGCGGGCATGAATCGCATGGTCGATAGCCTCTGCTATGCGCTGCTGGTGTGATTTGAATCCCGACGGCACGATAATAATATCTACCTTCCACTCGTTTGTTGCATGGTAAATAGCCTATGTTTATATCAATACGTTAATTTTGGAGTATTGAGGGTATGTTCTCTAATCATACCTTCGCCATTAGGCTTGCTGTGTCTGTATCCGCCTGACGGCTTCTAAAAACCCTTCCGACATAGATCTCAGCCATGCTGTAGACCTTCAAGATGAGCCGCATTGCTTCTGTCCCATGACCAGTACTGTCTTGCCAAGTGTCGTCTGCGTCGTCGATTTTCGTAAAGTCTTTATAGTTTTTCAAAGCCGGTGACTCGGCATCTTCGCTGACTCCGGTGTCTAGTATGGCAATCTTGGCGGCTGCAGAACTTTCGTCCTTTTCACCAGATTTTCCACGGAGAAGTGAGGTCAACCTGTCGAGCTCGTCGAACCAAATTTCCGATGAGGCTGCTTGCTTTCTGCACACTGTATGAGAGCTTATCAGACATGAGGGACGACGGAAGTTGACTCACGTTGACATAGTACCGTCATGGGGGAAATCTTGGCTGATCGAATGTGGGCTTGATGAAGAGGTGTGTCTATAATTGCCGGATGATTTTGGGGCCTGCAATCGAGGAACAATTAACCGTAATTCTTCAGGGCCGAAAGTAGTAGCCTGTGGCCATTGGGCTACCAGTTGACCATGGGGCTGGGGCGTAGTGTCTCGTTTGTTGCCGTTTCTAGTAGCAGAAGCGAGAGATTGTGGATGAAGTGCTGCTGCAGATGGCTGACGCATTGAAATCTGGTCCGTACGAGCCGACTTATCTAGTTCAATGTGTCGGATTGTTGAAGTCTCGGGGTCGTCCCAGGCGATGAGATATAGCTTCTGGAGTGGATGGACGACACGCTCTTCCAAAATATGTCGCACGTCGTCCGAGTTGCCTGCAAAGGGTATGAAAGGTTCCGGCGTGAGGCAGACCTCTATCACCGTTCTGAACGCCCCGAATGTCTCCGCCTTGTCCCAGAGATCAGGCTTATTGAAAACTTCCATGGCGGCAATGTGGTCAGCGTTGACATTCGGGTTGCCATCCAAGTCGATGCACACCGGCAACCTGTAATCTTCGATCCTGATACCCAGCTCGATTTCCAGAAACATGATACCTAGAGCTAGGATTTTTGGGAATGGATGGGATCTGAAATCGTCATCTTCGGTGCAGCATAGTCGGCCTGGGCCTCCAAAGCTCGACGAAAGAAACGGCTCGTTGACAAAGATCGCTCTTGGCACGGGAGACCGTTTCTCGAACATGAAGTGTAAGTCGTACTTCGTCCACTCTTTTTGCATCCATCTGGAATCATAGAATTGCCACACCGCCTTAGCTAGGAAGTAAGATACAAGTAGCTTCATTTTCCGCGACAATTCTGCCTCTCGAAGGAGCTGGGATAAAGAGACGCTGGATGCATCTAGATGGAAGCCTTGCGAAAGTTGCCCAGGACCATCTCGCACCAGTCCATCTCTTGAGACCGCTAGATTAAGCTGTGCTTGTTGTCGGTTTGTTATAAGCCGGCAAAACTCGTCTACCGATATTGGACTCTGCAACGACGGACGCTCGGGAGGAAGGCTCGGGGGCTTGAATCTCACTTCCCTATCAATCCAATGAGTCAAATGGGTGCACGTCTTCAAGAAGGTGAGAACCGGAATAGAGTCATACCGCCTTTTTGAGACCCGTATACACGTATCCTGCCATTGTGAGCACCTCTCATCGTCTTGTATGTGTGGGTGGTCCAGAAAGAATAACCTGAAGGCGATGCTGTCTCCTCCATCATTGTTTGGTGAATAACAATCTCTTAGGCGCAGGTTTGTCGTGATCGCCATGTTATCTGAGCCCTGTCGGCACATACAGGTCGAGACAAGAGAAGAGTAGAGACCACGTATGTAGACCTGATAATCGTGCTGGTTCTTTTGGACCTCATTTGTAACGTTGATGTCAGATAGCTCTGGGCCACGGTCTGGCTTCTTGAGCGTAGCAATCGTTTCGAGTAACTGGAGCAACTTCATTCGATGCTGCTTTGCGTTTATGTCCCTGGCGAATCCCTTAATTGCTTTCCTCACAATGACTTTCCTCTTCATCATGTTGGTTAACTGGGCGTACTGCTCGGATGTACGAGAGGAAGAAGGCCACTGAGGATCAATTAAAAATTGCAATCAGTTCTAGCTTTTATACAAATGGAGCATTCAACCATATGTAAGAAGATTCACCTGGCATAATCTGTCCAGATTTTGTAGAAGGTTTAACACCTTCCGTGAGTCAGAATGACCGAAGGGCCTGCTCTCGAGGTCTTTCAGGTATTGGTGTGCATTTCTCAACGCAGCAGCCAGCGAACTGCAAAATGCCTTGATCCCAGGCTCCTTTGAGGCTTCCTGGGCTTCGTCACCTAGAATCCTGGTGGCATCCTGTGCGAGGACTATCGCGGCTTGCTGATCAGCTTGGCTGAGCAGCAAACTTTGGCCGCCAGCTGGCTTGGCGTTTCTCGAGGTCATGACGCGGCCAGAGCCGAAAACTCCTGGCGATCGGAATCAAAGCAAAGTTGCGATGTAAGCATGCGAGACCACACTGCTCGATTGTGCTCGAAAGCATCCGCCTGGTCGCCACTTTGCTAGGAAGGAGACTTCGACGGTATATGCCCGTATCAGCCAACCCCGCAAGTGGTCGCAAATAGGCGGCGAGGTGTTCCCAAAAAATGTCCCAAATAGGTCCAATCCTACGTAACCATGCATAGTTCTGCATGCGAGAGTGGGCAATACTTCTGCCCAGTTGCACAGGAGATGAGATTTCTCGGCGACTTGGTGCAGAGGAGATACAATCGTTTTGCTAGAACAGCTTATTTGAGGTCGCCGATGACAAAGATATCTTCCAGCTCCGGATGTATTCCATCCTTCTGAATATCCTCTAAGCCTTCCTTGTGGAGTGTATCCACAACATCATCTTCGTCCCCAACATGCAGCCCAAACGTAGCGCCCCTTGATAGCGTTCTGTGCGACCACGCGCGATCAAGTACACCCTTGCCAATCTTTGCCAGACGTACGGCCCATATGAAGTCCGTCATCCTTTCCGCGGACGATGAGGTACTATCGGTCCTCGTTGAACATGAGCCAAGTCCAGCTTCAGCCACCGCTTGAAGCCCGCTTGAAGACGGTGAGCATCACCTTCAAAATTCTTTAATGATTGACATATATACTTACACCTGAAAACCTCCACCCAGTCCTTTTGCCGCTGAATGTGACAATTCGTACTTAGATCCCTTCGCAATGATAATGCCAGTGATCATGAAAGATGAGGATGATCGGAGAGGCCCTTGACGTCTCACGTAGGCCACGACCTCATCTGTCTCCATAGAGTCCTCGATATAAGCAGCTGTTGGTTGAATTATGGCAGTCTCAAGCGCCTCAAACTGCCAGTATTTGCCAACTGTTCTCTCGAATGCAACACCAACATCGCCTTGCACAGTCAAACCGACTGCAGCGGCAATCGGCGCGCTAAATTTAGAAAAAAAGTCGATGCCATCGGCGTTGTTGACTTTCCAGGCCAACTCCCACGACTTAGTTGAATAAATTGGCATGTCTGGCGGTATGGGCAGGAGGTCCCTCCGATTAATGACACTGTCGAGATGTCTCAGGTCCGGAATGATATGCCCGAGGCATATTGGGCCTTTGAGTTTCCCGATGCCATTTGTAGGGATTTCCGGAGGTGGGTAGTGCGTTTGATTCAGAACGAACCAACACTTCGAGCCCATATCGAATTGAAGCGTGTGTAAAGGGCTGAAGTTGAAAGAAGAAGAAAGAAAAGCCGGATCTAGGCCGCTGATACCTGGCCTTTCTACTTACTACTCGGATTCAAGCGCCTTGCCAGACTGCATACCAGTCTGCCAGCCTACCTGAATGCCAGGGCGGGGACTTTCCCCTGATGGTGCCACTGCATCAATATATGCACATGATCAGGTTACGAGCGGCTGGTGTGGCAAACGTTACGTGGGAATGTTATCACCTAGACGATATGAGAATTGAAGCCTCCAAGTCTCAGCTCGTGATTTGCTCCCACGCATAGTGGACTCCCAGGCAGTTAAACGTGGCTCTTTCTTCTTTTTAAGCCCTTTGGTCTGATTCTGTCACAATTCGTGGTCTGCAAACGATCAGTTCCTGTGTACAATCTCTCGTCCGCCATGACTACCCCACACATTCTCCGTGATCGCACCCTGGCTTGCCAAAGCCTCTTCTCCAGATGCGTCTCTATCTCTTTCACCAATACCTCTCGGCTTGACCTTTTCGAGTCTTGGCAGGGGCAGTTTAATCTTTGGGCTGCAGGACTCAGAGCCACGCAGTATAACAAGTCTTCTTTGGACTACCGTGTGCGACAACGTGCTGATATTCGGGAGCTGATGGGTGATTTATTGAGTGGGCTGACCGAGGCCTTGGAAAGTTGCCTCCATACCGGTATTTGGCTAATTGGCAAGACTATGACAATGGCCAGCTGATCGAAACTAATAGATGTGCACGCCATGCCTGGCTCCTTGACGACTACCGAGGCAGTCTCGCTTGTCGAAGCAAATGACACTACAGCAACTTTCTCGGGATTTTCAGGACTCTCAAGCGATGAGAGCACATCAGAATCAGGAGGCTTTGACCAAAAAGATCCATGTGTTGAACATTTCTTTCACATTAGAACCATTCTCGACCAGCTTAGCAGAGCCTCAACAGCCATCCGGCGCTCCGGGATCAAGTATCGTCATGAGAAGGCGGACAAATCTTTAAACGAGAACGATTTCACAGACTTCAAAGCATATTTGACAATTACAACACTCACTGCGACTGTTCAGCCCAGGGCAAATGAACAAGCGGTTGATATCACTCTCGTTGGCCAAGTGACAGACCAAAACCGGCTTAATCTGGTTCAGCGGCGATTGATACATGCAAATATCGTCAGGAGGAACAGAATAATATTTGCCACTCGCGACATCAAACGAGCAAATCATCCCACTGAGTACGACATGCACCCACGAGTCGATATCCCGCAGATGATAGAAAATTGGCCAACCAATGATCCCGTACCAGAAAGCGCTGTGGCACCTGCCGTTCCAATCTCAAGACCTACCGTCTTGCTACCAAAAGGAATATCAGTCCTTGACGCGACATCAACTGTCCAGAGTGCTACAGAGGTCGGCTCTGGACTTCACCTGCAGGCTCTTATAGAGCCACCAAAAAGTACGAGTCCGTCAGTGATGACGAAGATCACGGAGACGGGCGCGACTCGGGACTACCCCAGCTGTCCGAAACCAACAATAGGAAAGCAGCTTCAGTGTCCCTTTTGTGCCGATATATTGTCGATGGACTATTCAACGAACAAATCCAGATGGAGGTATGATTCTGACATACGACTTAGTGCTAGATCAAATTTCCCGAAGTTATATTTTGTCTGAACGAGGTCCTGACCAGATGATTCCATACACAGAGGCCATGTTGCCCAGGATATTATTCCCTACAGTTGCATCTTCGAAGAATGCAGCGCTCCAGATGAGCTTTACCTTACATCCGATGATCTGAACAAGCACATGCTCAAGGAACATGGCACCGTCAGATGGGTATGTGACTTTTGCTCTTCTAAGTCTTCAGACATATTCACTTTCGCCACGCTCGATGACTGGGAGTATCACATGCGACAACAACACCCAACGACCTTTGAACACCCCCAACTCCCATCACTGGGTAAAGTCAGCCAGCGAACAGTGATCGACCTTAGTCACTGCCCACTATGTTCATACAAGACGGACACTATCACCCAGGAGGTCGACGAACATATCTTGAAACATCTCCACGACTTTGCGTTGAGGTGTCTTCCATGGAACTCGGATGCTGCGTTATATGACTCTGCTAGAATGACTACAGACGACCAATTCAGTTCAGGATCTGCTATATCCGACAGCGACAGCGTGACAGGCGACTTGGATTTCGGGTTTGGAAACAGTCAAGACGTCTCCTTCCACCTGGACGCTCTGCAAGATTCATGTCGCCTTTACTTGGAGAGCAGCTTGAGCGACGCCAAGGAGGCCCTTGTTAATCGCATTCTGTCTGGCATCAGTAGCTTCCCACGAAACGGTGAGATTTGGACGGTGTCTGACCTCGACCGAATTGGAGTCCAAATCCACAAAACGAAAACATGCTTGCGTCGTATAGTTGAATGCGAGGATACTAGCGCTTTCCCGGATGTGAAGACTGATGAGCTGAGAAGCCAGCTTCTTCATGAATTACACAATGAGATCGATTCGGTGGTGGAGCTTGTGGAGAATTTGCAAGCCGCTTCAGCGAACAATGCAATAAATCCTCCCTGTGAGTGGCTCTGTGCTTTTTTAGACTATGAGTGCCTAACTTTCCGATTAAATAGTGACCACAGCTTTACTTAGCGAGCTGGAAGACGCAATCACCATCGCTCGAAACGTTGTGAAAGCGACACCAGAAGATCATCCAGCCAGAACTGAGCGGTTAAAGAATCTTGCAAACCGGCTGGGCGACAGATACTCGAGCACTGGGGCTATTTCAGACCTTGAAGAGGCGATGAACATCGATTGGGAAGCTGTAAAAGCCAAGATAAATGATTATACAGATCAAGCTGGAGTTTCCAAAGAACTGGAAAACCGACTTGGCAACAAATACCCGCGCATTGGAGCTACAATGGACCTCAAAGATGTGGAAGAGGCAGTTTCCCTCGCTCGAGAAGCTATGAGAAGTGTACCGAAAGACAGTCCACTTCAAGCTGTATATCTAAACATTCTTGGAGCTCAACTTCTCAACAGATACTCGCGTACTCGAGCTGTGGGAGACTTGGAGGAGGCCGACATTTATTTCAAGAAGGCCTTGCACAGTGAAGAAGCTACAGTCAGTGAACGTCTCCGAGGTGGCCGCAGCTTCTTGTTGTCACCAAATATTCTCCACGATGAACATGGTGCGTATATTGCTGCCAAGACTGCGGTTAGTCTAATCCCAATGCTGTCTTCCTTCCCTCGACGATCTGCCGACGAGCAGGATCAGCTTGGAAGCGTCATTGGACTCGCCTCTGATGCCGCAGCCATCGCTCTCCACACTGGCCACGGCCCCTTCGCCGCACTTGAACTACTAGAGACTTGCCACAGCATTTTCGCTAGGTCACTGCAAGATATTCGTACCGATCTTGCTGCCCTTCAACAGGAGTATCCGGGCTTAGCACGTGACTTTGTTTCTCTTCGAATCCAGCTCGATGACCCTGATCGATGTCGTCAGGCTAGTACCCAAATGGAACACCTCCTAGATGATGTTCGAAGACATCCTGGATTTGAGCGGTTTCTTACATCGGCTACGGAGGAGGAAATGCGGGAGGCAGCTGCTTACGGCCCTATCATCGTTATCAATGTCAGCTCGCATCGCTGCGATGCATTAGTCGTCGAGCGTTCCAGTGTCCGCGTCATCTTCCTCCAACAACTCACTCAAAAGGGAGTGCTAGAACATTCTAGCAGGCTGAGATCTCTCGAGACATTATCCTGGTTGTGGGATGTCGCTGTAGGGCCTATACTGGACGTGCTAGGCTTTACTGGACCTCCAGCCGATGATATTTGGCCCCATGTTTGGTGGATTGCGACCGGAAAGATAAGTCAATTTCCACTCCACGCAGCTGGGCATCACGCCAAGCGCAGTGCAGAAACAGCACTAGACAGGGTCGTCTCATCATACAGCTCCTCCATTCAGTCGATATTGCACACTCGCAGACGGCAATATCCAGATGTAAAGAGTGCTTCAGACTCGAGCGTCGTTCTTATTGATTTGCAGATGATTTCAGCCCAGAGCACGCAAATTGGGGTAACAGAGGAGATGGTTGAAGTAAGAAAAGCCTGTGAGTCCATCGGAATGCCATGCCAGCAGCCTTTAGGATGCAAGAAGGATGTTCTAGCCACATACGAAAAGTGTAGGATCCTCCACATTGCCGGCCATGCAAAGGCTCATCCTGACCCCTTGCAAAGTCTTCTTTTGTTGCCAGACTGGGTAGATGATCCTCTGACGGTGGAAAATCTTCTTGAGACAACCCTTTCCATCAGTGACCCGTTCCTTTTATACTCCTCTCCCTACAGCACAACATATTCGACTGATGAGATCCTCCATTTGATGAACGCGTTCCAGTCAGCTGGGTTCAGGCACGTCATTGGCAGGCATTGGGGATTTAAAGATGAATCTTGTATAGAGGTGGCTAAGTTGATGTATGGGTTTCTGGGTGCGAACGGAGTGAGAGATGAATCTGTGGGCAGAGGACTTCACTTCGCCATCAAGAGGCTTCGAGACAGGTGGGCGGAGCGGCAGCCAGGAACTGGAACTACGGAAAAGTCGCAACTGAATTCACAGCAGGATTGGCCAACCTGGGTGGCCTATGTTCATTTTGGTGTGTGAGTGGCGGGAGGCAGGGATTATTGCTGGATTTCCTGACAGTATAACTTTTCTTGACGTCTCTTACCTAGCAGGCGAATTATATCTTATATAGATACTACATGTGCGCAGGTCTGAAAAATCACTCTATGTATGATTTGAAGCCAGTCCCTTTGATATAAAAGTCACCTTAATCAGAGTGTTTATCCTGTTTTTGACCTTTCCTACTGTTTATTTGTTCCTTCTTTCTTACGTCGATCAGTAAGGGATTGTCAAGAACGAAAATGGACTGGGAGATTGCATCTCAATATAAGTAATATGTTATACAAGGAGGACTTCAACTGCGCAATCTGACCATCTAACGCACACTCAACCACCTTATACATGCAACCGTGTAAATTTGGTTTGGCCCAACTTGCGGCCCGATCTAGCACCAAACCTTGGAAACTCCGCTCCCGTTGAGGATAAACAACCAGATGTAATATTTCTGGATCTATCACTGGCGCTCGAAAGTCGAATGTAGCATATTTCATTTGGCACTAATAAAAGATATCACATGGCTGTCTATTCCATCACATGAAGTTCCCCTGAAATGTTGTTTCAGCAAACAATTTCATTTATCATGCTCCAAGGCACTCGCGGACTTCCAAGGATTCCCGGCCGAGAGCGGTGTGTCCGACTTGGTATGTACCTCTCACCTTGGATTGCGAAACAAGAATAGGTACATCTTCTTCCTACGAGATGCTCGAGTCATATGGCTGATCAACATTCTCATCTGAAAATCACAATACTCGGGCCTATGCTGTGCCGGTTGCGGGCCTCGATTTAGGTCGTCCTCGGTAGATCACTCCTCAGACATCCTTGCCTCGATGATACGAGCGACTTGAGGGGGGTGGGTGCCAGCCAGCCCAAGGGTTGAACCCTTGGGTACTTGCTCGGTCTCGCGAAGTCTTACCTGCTGGACATAGGCACGCCTGCCAGCCTCTGATCCGGGCTAGAGTAAACCTTATTTGGGGCGAGACGGGATGTTGGCTGCCCTCAGTATGGGACTGTGTATTTACTTGTAGTCTTAAGTCTGGTGTATATGACAAGATAAACAAGATTCGGAGACGTGTAAATCAAGATCTGAATCGTAAGATGATATTTGAAGGGTGGCAGGTCGTATCCCTCTGAACCAATGGGAGTCTTCCGAGATGGAAGGCAGGAGGTCGAGATGAGGCTGAAGATTGCGCTGCGGGGAGGGTGACAAGGGTTGTGGGAGGTGGATCCCGACCAGATCGAAGGTTTTCTTGGTTCTTGCGTCTTGTGGGGACGAGGGTCCCCTAAACTCTGTCTCAACTCAACCACCCCTCCTTGCGCAACGCATCGAGACCTCCCACGTCATCAAAAAACCTAACCCCAACCCAGCCGCCTGGCCTGCTGTCTTGCTGTCTTGCTGGTCATCCATCTGTTTCTGAATCGAGGCGGCTGGGGGCCTCGTCACCCACGCCGTGCCTGCTCGTGCTCTACCGAGGACCGAATGCTGCTGGTCGTTGTAACGACATCTGAAGACCGTGCAGATCAGCTACAGCAAAGCAGCGACCGTTCACCCGTCGCTCTGTCACCAACACTAGGTCCTATGCAGCGTGACCGGACGAACGCATTCTGTGCCGGAAACCCAACACTCTCCTGACTACTGCGCAAGCGTTGTCGTACTGATGAACATGTACCTGTAGCGCTGTTGTATCGCGGCGCTGGCCTGAGTGGCTCGGCACACAACCGTCGCACTCAGCGTGGAGCGCCGCAGATCGCCACCGGCCCAGCTCGATGGAGGACCTAAGCGCTAGCCGCCAAGTATAATGATCGTCATAAGACACCTCCAGACGTCTGATGCAACAGAAGCTTCCCGAGCCCGCAATGTGCTGTACGTACATCTACGACAAGCTCACGGGATCCTCGGGCACTTCTCATCGACTCATGAGAGTGCGTGCCTTTAGGCGTCAGTGCAGCAAGCAAGCAACCCATCCTCATCTGATCTTTCATCCGTGCGAGTGCAGGACGCACTGCCGCTGTCATTTCACGAGCTATCTTACCGTCGTTTATGCGCTCTCATCTTCGATCTGGCGCTGTTCTAGTCCCGCCAGCCACTGCTTCAACACGAGGATTCATCTGCCTCGTCAGCCTAGATGACGCTAGAACCTGTTGATACAGCTTCTGTGCCCGTCACTCCGAGCGTTCTTTGACCACAAGCGTGGTCTGCCTGGACCGCTCGGTAGACACTATCGCAGCGCAGCGGGACAGTGGCCAGTATGACATGTGGCAACTGCCGACAAGTACAAAATTCAGCCCGTTCCGACTGCCAAGGGACGAGCAAACTCAAACTGCCAGCCCTGCGCGGCTGGTACCATCCTAAGCAAATTACCGAAACATTGGTCGAGGCTTATTCTGGCCCCCGAGGCACTCGATGACATCGTTCGCAAAACACAGCCAACACTCAGCCGCTCACTTATCGGCTTGCACTATTTTTCACGCCGCTGGTGAGTCGACAGTCAAAATATTCGAGCCAAGCTGACAGAGAAATGTAGTAGGTTCACCGCGTATGCGTCATATATCGTCCAGCCACCAGTGCCTGGCGAGGAGCACTGGACAGGGTTGAAGCTTTGATGTTGGCTTCTTGGAGGATGAGCCAGTCCAGGATGGCCGAAGATTTTGATTGTCGCCGATGCCGGAACCATTGACGACAAGTCCCTCTGGACGCATGCCGTCTCACCACGTTGGAGGCTGGCATTCTTTCTTCAAGACCTCCAAGGTTCTTGATTTGGATCGAATATCGATCTGCACAGAGCAGACAACGACTCGTTCAAGTCATAGATGGACACTCGCTTGCCTGCATGGCGGCCCAACTGCATGGTCAGCATCACAAGAGCATTCTGTTCATTGCTCACGTTGCATTGGCTCCGACGAGGAGGCGGTGAGTCGAGAATGAATGCTCGTCCGGTTCATGAGCTGCCCCGCCGCTCCCGACTTGATGTTGCAGCGTTCATGAAGGGTTCGTGAGCGGATGTACACCGAGCATGTCACCTTTTCAGAGGTCATGCCAACGAGTCAAGGGCGGGTGCAGAGGCTGGACAATGCGTTCTGGATTTGGCCATTCTGCTCAGCCAAGCATGATTGAAGCTGGGAAGGGCCTGCGTGGAGATCTGTGCCAGTGGCTGGCCCTCTCTCCACATCGTGCGATACGTAGCCGCGACAGAGTGGGTAATGCATATCGCCGATGTTAAGACTCCTTCCGCGAGGCGCCTCACGCGGCTGGGTTTAACTTGAGACAGTCCTCCGAGGCTGGGCTCCTCGTGACCTCTGTAAAGAAAACCCGCCTTTGGACGAAAATGGGTTTGCGGGCAGGCGAATAATTCTGGGGATCTTGTTCATGCCGCTGCGCCGGTAAAATACAGCCGAATCCTCAAAAAAAAAAAGAGGGAGGCCGGCGGCAGGCTTCGTGGTTGCCCGCTGTCGGCTATACAGGACAAAAGTCCAAAGATTGAACAAAATTCAGCCTTCTGACCGCTCATGTGCCATGGGCAACAGCTCAGCGGGAATCAGGATAGTCCGAGACCAACCCTCCAATTCGCAGATTTTGGTGATGAGCACAGCCGAACCCCTGCTCGCTCATGAGCGACTCCTCAGCTCAGCTGTGATTCCCTGAATATGCACCGCAGGCTTCCAGCTGACGGAAGCCTGACGCTGCTCGGAGCCATGGAGTTACGACGATGTGCAAGATTTGGACGTTGAGTAACACGAGATGCCTCTAGTCCTCCTCTGATCAAGCGCAGCAGGCACCGGCTCTGTGGCAGATGCTTGTTTTCGTCTGATGGAAATTCAAGTCACTGGTTCATTCGAGAAAGAAATTGTACTCTTGGTTGCCGTTCTTTTCATGCCTCGTCTTGCCTAGTACCCTTAGATTGTGAAGAAGACCTGTGCTATCGTGCTCGTCCGGTCTCGAGGGCGTGCCGAGAAGGTGACAACGGGAAGCAACGGTGACCCTGGCCGAGGGCGCATAAAATTCGGATTATTAGACGACATTCAACACCAGCCATTTTGGGACTGCATGAAAACCAACTCCTGGATGTCTAGTTTCACACCATCACACTCTCCCCACGAACCCTGAATGTCTCTTGGGACTTGACGTCACGTCGAGCGGTTCCGCAGGCCCTTCCCGACTGCCATCCGACTCACCCTCGCAATATGCCTCAGACACACCGTACGGCTCCGGAACCTGGATCATGCCGTCGATTGAGTTTGCGCGACTCCTCCTCCGCCTCCGCCTCCTGCCACTCGGCCACCCCTCTTGGACTGCATCAGCCCAGACCACCTGCCTGGACCGACCCTTGCGCGCTCCACCGGGTCCTCCTCGAAGGCCTCCCCTTGTCACTCAGCGGCTGGGTATCATCATCGGCGTACGATGCACCAATCTAGTCAGGTTGACCCTCGATGGCAGCGGAGGGTGACCAACCAAGAAACCAGGAAGTAGATGTTTGGCTCGGCCGGAGTTTTTACGACGGAACGACGACCAGAAGGACACCCCCGGATTATATGTATGCGTGCAACCCTTATTACCTTTCTCGAAGGCCATCAGAAGCATTCCCTACTGCACAGTTTCACCAACCGCCAGAGTCCTCGCCAATCCACCGCTCACATACCTCTAGATAGCCGACAGGCTTTAGCCCTCACCTTGTTATCCACTCCCCTTCTCTCTGTGGGTGAACGCACCCTCAGTATCAGCCATGTCAAATGAACACTCTATCCCCATTGGGGTTGCATACGATGATGCGGCTCACATGCACGGCCAGCAGTCTTCCTCAGAAGAGCGTCAAAACGATGTAATGGAATCAACGGAAAAGCACATCGACGAAGACCGCCTTGAGGACAGCTTGTCGCCCAACACCGCGGTGGAGGAGCAGGATGAGCTTTCAGATGACTCTACCCCTCCCGTCCCACCAGTCCCACGACAGCTCTCATCTCGCGCTTCTCGCTCACGGATCCGGAGAGGCATGCCTAAGAGCTACGACTCAGATCCTCAGACGTATGGTCAAGACCTGCCGCGGATGACGTCCTCGAGGTCCAACCGCCCTCGCTTTCAAGACGAGATGTATGAGAGCGACCCACACTACGGCTCTGACCGCGCCTGGAGGGAGGAGATTCGACATCCAGATTATCAAGATCGCCGATACACGAACCGCGGCAAGCCGCCAAGGGCCTTCCTCAACAGCCAGAGCCCGGGAACGAAGCAGTGGGTGGAGGAGTCGAGGTCTTATCACGATCCCTTCTCACCCATGCAGCCCCCAAGGAAGTTCTACACCTTTGACGAGGAGCAAGGATACGGCGCTGGCTTTACCGCGCCTTACAACAATCGCCAAACATTTTCCACTGATGACAGCCCTCGCATCCAATGGAACGCCCTCACGAAAGAGCAAAAGGCCGAGGTGCTTCGCTTGCCCTGGCTGCAGTGGATGAACTCGGACTTCAAGAACCACTTTGTCGCCAGCCTGGGAGAGTTTGTAGGCACGACCATGTTCCTTTTCTTCGCTTTTGCCGGCACCGAAGTCGCCAATATTCAGTCCAATGCCAATGGCTCAAGCAATTCCTCTGACTCCAACACAACGACTGGTGCGTCGACCGGTTTCAATGTCAACGTACTGTTGTATATTGCGTTGTCCTTCGGTTTTTCTCTCATGGTAAACGTCTGGGTAAGTTGTCACCGTTCAGTCTCCACAATGCGGACAAGCATCTGACAATGCTCCAGATCTTCTTCCGCATCAGTGGCGGCCTTTTCAACCCCGCTGTGACACTAGCACTGATGCTCATCCGGGCCATCTCGGTCTTCCGGGCTATCGCTCTATTCATCTCGCAGATCCTTGGCGGAATCATGGCTTCGGTCCTCGTGCGGTTCCTGTTCCCCGAGAACTTCAACGTGCGGACCACTCTGGGCGGCGGAGCGAACATCGCCCAAGGCATCTTTATCGAGGCGCTCCTCACAGCCGAGCTGGTCTTCACGATCTACATGCTTGCCGCAGAGAAGCATAGGGCGACCTTCATGGCACCCATTGGCATCGGCCTGGCTCTCTTCATCGCCGAGATGGTCGGTGTGCAGTTCACTGGCGGCTCCCTGAACCCGGCACGCAGCTTTGGTCCGTGTGTAGTCACGGCCACTTTTGATGACGAGCACTGGATCTACTGGCTCGGCCCATTCATAGGAGCGCTGATCGCATGGTTGTTCTACCGTTTCATCAAGGCGCTTGAGTATGAGGTAAGATAATCCGCGCTCCAGTCATGGTACGAGATTTTTTTGTGCTGACAAAGGCCCTCTTCTAGATGGTCAACCCTGGCGCAGATGGCGACCCGCTCAACGATCCCACGAAGAACCCTGAGAAGGCAGCTGAGATCAAGATCGCAAGGTCAAAGACCAGCATGTCGAGCATGAAGACGCCATGACCGCCATCCGCAGCAAATTCCACACTGACAGCCACCTGTCCACAAAAAGAACTAAAAACTAATATTCAAGACCGTCATTTGCATGAATGAATTTGGAGGGATAATTTCGGGGTGGTGAGCTGACGTCTAGCCTGCGGTCAGATGGGCTTAGGGCCCGGGCTTGGGTTTCATCCTTTTTGTCCCTTTTTCACAATACCACACACACACACACATACACGAGGCGTTCATAGAGAAGATCTCCATGGCGATGATTTTATGATGAAAACGATTTCACCAACTGCTCCTCAAGTTTTTGGGTTGAGCCAGCAACTGCTTTGGGCAAAGCACACGACGTTCAAATAGACTATTTCAGACTAAAAATGAAAATGCCATGTTTCACACTCTGAAGCAGTGCCCGATGCGACCTTCCAGTGGGTAAAGCGATGCTAACTGCCCTACAGCACGATGAACTGTTTCCGGTGTGCAGTAGGCTGCATTAGTGGCTGCTCGTTCGTGCAGTTGAACGGTCGCCCTGAGTTGAGAGGGCAAACAGAGAGATCTTCAGGAGACCAGGCCTGAATCAGGCATGGGGGGAGGCGGGCTGGCGGGCAGCCCAGCCACGCGGCCGTTGGCGCGGACGCTGGCGTTGCATCCGTCGACTGTCGATCGGATGACATACCAAGTGCCGCTGGTGTCGGCCTAAGGGGCCCTAGGTCGGGGGGCTAGGTACCTAAGGGGGGGAGAAACTTTGCCTTGGCGCTGGTCGGACGGCCCAGATTGAGCCCCTGATTTGCTGAGTGTTTCTATTCTGAGGATAGGGGTCTCCGTCTGGTCGGCGCGGACTGAGTAGCTTTACTTGATGTGGTGGGCGCAGAGAGAGTGGTGTTCTAGAAGCAATCTTGAAGGCATTGATCTTTCTTGATACGAGGACTGGGACTTCTTAACCGCAATTGGGTACCTGGATAATTAGAGTGGTAGTCAAATGTGTTCTCAAGTCCAGGAATTGTGTTAGCAAGTTCATCATCGAAGCCGAAGCACTTATAGATGACGCACATGCATGTATTGGGACATGAAAGGCTGGAACTTCCTGTCGGCAGGTCATATCGCTCTGTATGCTATACTTGGCACAGATTCACGAATGAATTGATTATGCTCAAAGAGCTCGAGTGCAACCATACTCGTCATCTTGGAAATAAAAGTGCGCTACTGCTGTTGCATTTCTCGTCATATTTTGGACCGGCATTCGCTCCTCGAGCTCGGGCCCCTCTAAGTGACGGTATACAGGACATTATTACGCGTTCATGTGTGGGCTGATGCGACGATTCATCTGTTGAATGGCCAAGAAAGTGCTCGTTGCCATCCAATTAGATTGAATGAGAGTCTAGCCAATATGTTCACGATTGCACAAGGTCATACATGGAGATGATAGGTTTCTTTCTCCAGGCGGCGGTCTACTACAGTAGCTATTGCAATAGTAGCGTACGCAGTATGCGCTGGGTAAACTAGCCTTATCAATAACACTTGCTAGCTAGCACCAGCCAGCTACTAGCTGCAGCCCAGCTAGCCTATACCCAGACATACATAGGCTGCAGCTTTTAGCTGCAACCTTAATACTAACTAAGCAGAATTAATACCACTCTAAACCACTTATTTTATAATAAATTACTTATACAGAAAGCTAAACTAACACTAATTATTAATTATATAGCAATTATAAATAATTAAGTTTAAAGAAATAATTAATTATTATAAAACTTAAATACTATTTATATATACTTTTTATAAAGCAGCTATACTAATACTTATTAATATTAATAAATTTAAATACTATTTATATATACTCTTTATTTATAAAAGTAAGCTATTATATAATTAAAAGAATTTAAATCTGTTAAGGTATTCTCTAACTAACTTATTATATATATTTATTATACTTTAGGAAAAATATTAACTTTTATTAAGCCCTAAACTCCTTATTAACCCTTAAAAGCCTTTATAAATAAGCTATTATACACAAGCTTTTACAATTATAATAAATTCAACCCCTTTAATAAGCAAGCCTTAAAAAGCATACCTTTAAACCCTTGTATAAGCCTTTACAATACTTATAAGCAAACTAGCAAACCCTTTAAAATAAACCCTTAAAAGCAGGCTATCACAAGCCCTTATGTAAGCTTTTACAATACTTTTAACTAAATTTTTATAATTAAACCCTTATAAACTACTATAAGCAAAAAATACACCCTTGCAAGTAAACTCTTATAAGCAAACTATTATAAGCTACTATAAGTAAGCCTAAATAAGCCCTTAAAAATAAGCTAAATATATAACTATATAAATTATATAAATTATATAAAAAACGCTTTTTAAAGTGTAAACTTTTAAATGTTACTTATAAGTAAATTCACTCTAAATATATTTATAATTAGCTAAATAATAGTAAAAATAATTTATTAGTAACACATTACAAAATTTACTTTTTACTTTTTATTACCACTATATTAAATAATATTACTTATTTATACTTATATTCTACTATTTAATACCTTATTACTTTTATTTCTACTTTTAATTTTTTTTTTTCTTTTTCCCTTTAACTATAAGCAAGCTATATAATATAAATACTAATATATTGCTATAATAATTGCTTAAATAGAAATTTCCCTTAAAGCACTATTAATGCTACTAGCGCTACTAAAACTACAAATTTTCTTATTTTTCCCTATTATACCTACTTTTTCTAATAATATTATAACTACTGCAATAAAAAAAGCAACTCTTATTAGCTTATACAGTAATTACTTTTAAATAAATAGGCTACTATTTATAGGTAAATAGGTAAAACCTTAATATTAAGTTAGTTAAAAGCTATAGTAAAACAATACTCTTTTTAACTATTTTTTAAAAACCTTTTAAAAATAAAGTAATTACTTTTTCCTTAAATACTATTTATAAATATCTACAGTCCTCAAGTTATTACAATAATAAAAACATTTATAAGAGCTATAAGCGTATAGTATAAGGGAAACGCTATTTACTAATAATATAACTTAATATTTAAATTAAAATGCATTTAAAAAAAAGTACAATAATAGCTTTAATAATAATTATAATTTTAATAGAAACAATAATAATTATAATTATAAATAGTTGCCTTTACTTTAAAAAATAACTTTAAAAGGATAACGCTAAATAGCGCAATAGCAAATTAAACTTAAAGCTTTTACCTTATAAAAAAAAGGGCTTAAAAATTTAATATAATAAATTTTATATTATTTAAGCAATAGTTTACTTATACACCTATTAAGATTTTCCTAATTTTTTATTATATACCCTAATTAGCTATACTATAGCACTAGTTTAATAATATTACTTTACTTAGCTAGCTTATTAATTAGAGTGTAATAATAATAATACTAGAGGGATTAAGAGAAGAAGAAGGTATATAATATAAAAAGCTAAAAAGCACTAATTTAGCAGCATATATCGCTAGCACAAAAAATAGGCAGCTGGAAACAAGAACTACCTATTAGCTAGCTGCTAATTGCCTAATAGTTTAATTAATTAAAAATTAATTTAAAGGAAAGCATATTTTTAAAGCATATATACGTATATAGTAAAAAACTGCTAATAATATAATAATAGTATATATAGTATATGCTAGGTAAACTAGCTTTATTAATAATACTTACCAGCTAGCGCTAGCTAGCTGCTAGCTGTAGCCTAGCTAGCCTATACCTAGATATACATAAGCTACAGCCTTCGGCTATAACCTTAATACTAACTAAGCAGAATCAATACTACTCCAAACCACTCGTTTCGTAACGAATTACCCGTACAGGAAGCTAAACCAACAGTAGCTGTCTGTGTGCACAAATAGTCAGTACGGCTCAGAGCGTGCGCCAATAAATTATTTGAGCGCGTGGCACAAAATTGAATGCATATGAACGGTCATCCTGCCAAAAAATGCTGTGTGCGACCCTTGTCCTCCATCAAATTCTTGCGCGTTTTCTATTGCCCTGAAGAGCATCGGATGACTGCAGATGAGAACGATTACGGGAGCTTATGCTCCGAGAGTAAAGTTTGTGGTGCAAAGACATTCACAAGGATGGATGGGCAGCCTTTCGTGTACTTGAAATTATCATGTTCCTTAAAGATAGGAATCAATAACCATATGCCGTATTCAAGTGAGTGACGGTCTCTGAATGTAAGTCAAAAAGACCGTTGACAATAGTAGCATGTTATGACCAATCCGCCGTGTCTACATTCTGATCCCAGACCGATGGGCCATCTTGATGCTCTTGATTCTGAACATATCTAGTCTCGTTTTTATGCGGTTGGTCACAATTATGGCACCGGCTGTCCGGAAAGCAAGCAATGGAGGATGTGATTTGTACTCAGACTGTATGAATATGTGCATCATGAAAAGGGGTGTAAAGATAAAGGACTTGTCCATATTTCGAGCACTGCCATTCTCATGAAATAGACGGCCACGGACAAGTACACCTCGGCCGTTCACGTGTATTAACTTTTGCCTCTTCTTTTTCACACCTATATACCTTATTTGATGTATCCCAGAAGCTGAACAGAAGAGCCTGCGTGCTGCGTACATCTACACCCAAATGTTCTTGAAATACGTCCATTAAAGCCACGAAGCCATGATTGAGCAAGTGACAATGGCCAACCTAAATATACACGCTGGTCTTTCCACCCTGTTTCCCCATTCGAGTGCGCTCTCCAGAAATAACATGGCTCTGATCAGTGATAAATGAGTCACAATGAGATGGGCAACGTGAGAGCCACGTACAGCTGCCCTCACACTGAAAGCTTGACCGCGTCTCTTCTTCGATTTCAAACCTTTGACCATTCCTTTTGGCCCATCTGCGGCGTTCGCTTATGTGACTTCTACGTCAAAGTCAGTATTGGGAAAGAGTACAACTATAGTCAAACTCCCAACAACCCAGAATTCCACCGAGCAGCCTAACTACATCCTCCAACGACGTTGGCTTCCGACCTCCGAG